GAGGCACTGAGGCTAGTGGTGTTGTGGAGAGAGGCACTGAGGCTAGTGGTGTTGTGGAGAGAGGCACTAAGACAAGTGGTATTGTGGAGAGAGGCACTGAGGCTAGTGGTGTTGTGGAGAGAGGCAATGAGGCTAGTGGTTTTGTGGAGAGAGGCACTGAGGCTAGTGGTGTTATGGAGAGAGGCACTGAGACTACTGGTGTTGTGGAGACCGGCTTGGAGACACATAGAAGGCAGTTGTTGTTGGGGGATTCCATTATAAGAGGTGTGGAGATGGACAATGTTGGTCTAGTGAGGTGTCTTCCCGGAGCTACTGCTCACAGAGACAGGAGACGTATCTGTAATATTGTTAAGCAAGCAAAGCAGGAAGGGAAATTGGATGTACTTGTCCATCTAGGGACAAATGACTTGGCTTGCAATGAGGTTTCAGAGGTTAAGGAAGTTTTTAGTGTTTTTGCCAATGATATACGGCAGGTTGTTTCCACACTGTCATTCTCTGAAGTTCTGCCTGTGCATAACACTCAGAACGACAGGCGGATGCGTATTAGGGACTTTAATTTGTGGCTTGGTGAATGGTGTCGGGATCAAGGATTTGGCTTTATTTCTCATGGTAGCTCTGTTTGGAATGGAGATAAGCTGTACAAAAAGATGGTTTGCATCTTTCTCAAAAGGGAACAAATGTTCTCAGTGAGCAGTTCAGAGGTTTTGCTAGGATGTATTTAAACTAGGAGGGGGGGGCAAAAGGGTGATAAAACATCAATCCAATTGTCCCCCAAAACAAGGACAGAAGGTGCCTGTAGCAAGTGTGTTAAAAAATGATAAGCTTAGAGTCATGTCTACAAATGCTCGCAGTTTAGGGAATAAGATCCATGAACTTGTGGCAATAATGGCAACTGATAGTGTAGATTTAGTCGCTGTTACTGAGACATGGTACAATGAGAAAAATGACTGGGACATAGCAATACCAGGGTACTCTTTATATAGGAAAGATAGGGAAGGCAAGAAAGGGGGAGGGGTGGCCTTTTATGTGAAGGATAGCATAAAATCTAGCCTAATAAAAGTTAGTGAGGCAAACATAGAGTCCGTTTGGGCTACGTTAGAATTTGGTAATCACACAGTAACTCGTGTAGGTGTGATTTATAGGCCCCAGGACAAATTGAAGAGTTAGATAATCTACTAGTTGAGGAAATAGCTAAAATAACAATGAAGGGGGAAGTTATCATCATGGGTGACTTTAATCTTCCTGATGTAAATTGGAAAACAAAATTAGCTACTTGTGCCAGGAGCACACATATTCTAAACTCCCTACTGGGATTGTCTCTAAAACAAGTTGTTGAGGAGCCAACTCGTAAAGAGGCCATACTAGATTTAGTGTTAACAAATGGAGATTTGGTATCAGATATTACTGTAGGTGAAAGTTTAGGATCCAGTGATCATCAGTCAGTGTGGTTTAATATAAGAACAGTGACTGAGTCACACCACACAAAAAACAAAGTTTTAGACTTTAGAAAAACAGACTTTTCTAAAATTAGAATATGGGTAGAGGAGTCATTATCAGACTGGAGCAATTTAAATGGAGTCCAAGAGAAATGGGATTATTTAAAAGCTGCACTATTGAAGGCAACAGAAAATTGCATTAGGCTTGTCAGTAAAAGCAAAAAATTCAAGAAACCACTGTGGTACTCCGCAGATGTGGCCAAAATAGTTAAAAACAAAAAGTTAGCATTTAGGAATTATAAAAAAACACAGAGTGAGGAAGACAAAATGATCTATAAGATTAGGCAGAAAGAGGCTAAGCAAGTTATAAGAGCTTCCAAATCACACACAGAAGAGAAAATAGCACAGTCAGTAAAAAGGGGGGATAAAACATTTTTTAGATACATAAATGAGAAAAGAAAAGTAAAACAAGGATTAGTTAGATTAAAAACAAAAGAAGGAAGGTATGTAGAAGAGGATAAAGGTCTAGCTGACTTCCTCAATTAATATTTTTGTTCGGTATTTACAGATGAAAATGAAGGAAAGGGACCTCAGTTAAGGAAAAGGATAAATGAGTCATTTATTACACATGAGTTTACAGAGGAAGAGGTTCTATTTCAACTGTCAAAAGTAAAGACAGATAAGTCAATGGGACCTGATGGAATACACCCAAAGCTATTAAAAGAGCTTAGTGGTGTACTAGCAAAACCATTAACAGATTTATTTAACCAATCATTGTTAACAGGAGTAGTCCCAGAAGATTGGAAGTTAGCGAATGTTGTGCCCATTTACAAGAAAGGTAATAGGAGTCGGGCAACTATAGGCCAGTAAGCCTTACTTCAGTAGTGGGGAAAGTGATGGAAACCATGTTAAAGGATAGGATTGTTGAACATCTAAAAACACATGGATTTCAAGATCAGAGACAACATGGGTTTACTTCAGGGAGATCATGCCAAACTAATCTTATTGATTTTTTTGATTGGGTAACTAAAATTATAGATCAGGGTGGTGCAGTAGACATTGCTTACCTAGATTTCAGTAAGGCTTTGACACTGTTGCACATAGAAGGCTTATCAATAAACTGCAATCTTTAAGTTTGGATTCAAATATTGTTGAATGGGTAAGGCAGTGGCTGAGTAACAGGCAACAGAGGGTTGTAGTTAATGGAATATATTCGAAGCTTGGACTTGTCACCAGTGGGGTACCTCAGGGATCTGTACTTGGACCCATTCTCTTTAATATTTTTATTAGTGATATTGCAGAAGGTCTTGATGGTAAGGTATGTCTTTTTGCTGATGATACTAAGATATGTAACAGGGTTGATGTTCCAGGAGGGATAAGCCAAATGGCAAATGATTTAGGTAAACTAGAAAAATGGTCAGAATTGTGGCAACTGACATTTAATGTGGATAAGTGCAAGATAATGCATCTTGGACGTAAAAACTCAAGGGCAGAGTACAGAATATTTGATAGAGTCCTAACCTCAACATCTGAGGAAAGGGATTTAGGGGTGATTATTTCTGATGACTTAAAGGTAGGCAGACAATGTAATAGAGCAGCAGGAAATGCTAGCAGAATGCTTGGTTGTATAGGGAGAGGTATTAGCAGTAGAAAGAGGGAAGTGCTCATGCCATTGTACAGAACACTGGTGAGACCTCACTTGGAGTATTGTACACAGTACTGGAGACCGTATCTTCAGAAGGATATTGATACCTTAGAGAGGGTTCAGAGAAGGGCTACTAAACTGGTTCATGGATTGCGGGATAAAACTTACCAGGAAAGGTTAAAGGATCTTAACATGTATAGCTTGGAGGAAAGACGAGACAGGGGGGATATGATAAAAACATTTAAATATATAAAGGGAATCAACACAGTAAAGGAGGAGACTATATTTAAAAGAAGAAAACTACCACAACAAGAGGACATAGTCTTAAATTAGAGGGACAAAGGTTTAAAAATAATATCAGGAAGTATTACTTTACTGAGAGGGTAGTGGATGCATGGAATAGCCTTCCAGCTGAAGTGGTAGAGGTTAACACAGTAAAGGAGTTTAAGCATGCGTGGGATAGGCATAAGGCTATCCTAACTATAAGATAAGGCCAGGGACTAATGAAAGTATTTAGAAAATTGGGCAGACTAGATGGGCCGAATGGTTCTTATCTGCCGTCACATTCTATGTTTCTATGTTTAGACAACACACAAACTGATGTACAGCCCTATCTGTGATAATCTAGCGGTAAAATAAAGATACAACAGTGTGGATTTATGTACCGCGGGTTCCTAAGATGGGATCTCCCTGTCCCTAGATGGGAAAGTCGAGAGCTATGGAAATAAAATATCCACAGACAACACGTTTGAAACCTCCCCACGGACCTTCATCCTTACTGTCTATACCTACAAACTAGGAGGAGGTTTACTACCCACCAGCAACTTATCCTTACCAGATTCCTGGGATTCTCCCCCCCCCCCCACTTCAGGGGCTTCAGTGCCCAATGGAAACTAAGAAAACTAGGTCTCGTCACAGAGACTTTCCCTTTGTATATAGTTTGTTATATGTTTTATGTTACACTTTTCACCCCAACCCCCCCCCGCCAAGACGATTCATCGCTACCATGACAAGACCATACCCACGACACAACTTTACAACTTACCAATACAAACATCACCATCTAAATGGCCACAGCTCCAGACCCAACACTATGAGGCACAAACTGCCACTTGGTTACACAACACAATATTGTTAGCAGATCAGCAATACACATATATACCAGAGATGCTCTCTTATGTCACTTAACATACTTTCTATAAACACTAAGGGACTCAACTCGCCCCATAAACGATGCATGGCCTTGTTGGAAGCGAAAAAACATAAAGCACATATTGCATTCTTCCAAAAGACCCATTTCCAAACAGCACATCATCCCAAATTTTCATCCAGAAATTACCTGCGTAGTACGTACAAAAAAAAAAGAGGAGTTACAATTCTAATTAGCAATGAAGTATCACTCCAATTCATAAAAAAAAAATAAGCGACAGAAAAGGACGCTACCTTCTCTTACAATGTATTATTAATAATGCTCAGTACACGCTAGTCAACATATATGGCCCACACAATAACCAACACATTTTTCTGGACCACGTCCTGACTTTAACAAAAGCACACAAGATTGGAGAAATCCTTGTAGGAGAAGACACCAACTTTATTGTAGATCCATCTTTAGATACCACTTCAGCCTAAAAAATTTCACAAATGACATCACAACGGAGAGCACACTCCACTTCATTTATAGACAATACCCTCCATACCCATGGATACTCGGATATCTGGAGAGCCCTACACCCTCTAGAGAGAGACTATACACACCACTCCCTGGTGCATGATACGTATTCCCGGATTGATCGTTTCTTAGTCCCAACACTACAGTCCTCACAAATCTCCAAATCCGATATAGGCATAATCTCCTGGTCGGATCATACACCCATAACAATTTCTGTAAATACACAACATCCTACTAATGGAAACCAAACCTGGTGACTTAACGATACACTTCTCAATGACCACAAACTAGTTTCCCAGCTCAAGGAAGACCTAGCATCCTATTTTTCCATCAATGACACATGACACATTGATGGAAAAATAGGATGCTAGGTCTTCCTTGAGCTGGGAAACTAGTTTGTGGTCATTGAGAAGTGTATCGTTAAGTCACCAGGTGTGGTTTCCATTAGTAGGATGAGGCCAATTCATTAAACATGCCAGCTTCAACAAAAAACAGCGCGCAAAGACATACATGGACATACATACTGAACTTTCCACTCTCACCCGAGCGAACAAACAATCGCCATCACATAATACCACAAAACAAATTCTCCAACTACAGTCCAAACTGAGAGACATGGAACTAGCCAAAACAACATACTTACTGACAAGAATGAAACATAGATTTTTTTACGGAAGGGAATAGAGCAGGGAAAATTCTAGCTGCCCAACCTAAAACAAAGACTCTATCCTCCAGGATAGCATTTATTCACACTAAAGATGGGAGCAAAATTACTAACCCACAGGAAGTGGTGGAGGAATTTGGCAAGTACTATAGTGGTTTGTACAACTTAGCTGGGGCAACTGATAATTTTACACCCAAACAAGGGGACATAGACACCTTCCTGAAAGATATACACTTACCATCCATTACCCCAGAAGATTGTCATAAACTAACACAGCCATTCACAACCCAAGAAATTATAGACACCCTCAAACATCTACCGAAACATAAATCACCTGGACCTTTACTATCACACTTTCAAAGATATCCTGGCACCCCACATGACCACTTTTCTCAATTGCTTTTTCCAAACAGGGGCTATGCCCACAGCCATGCTTCAAGCTCACATAACAACACTTCCGAAACCAGGAAAACCCCCTACCCACTGCTCCAACTTTAGACCCATTTCCCTCCTGAATTGTGACAGCAAAATATATGCCAAACTGTTAGCTAACAGGCTAGCCCCCATATTACTGCACATAGTACACAACGATCAATCAGGCTTCATAAAAGGGAGACAAGGCTCCGATAACACTAGAAAGATACTTAATCTATTATCCCATATCGAAACAGAGGGGGCTGAAAGTCTGTTTTTAGCTCTAGATGCAGAAAAAGCCTTTGACAGGCTCAACTGGGCTTATATGACAACAGTATTAACCAAATATGGCTTCCCACAAAACCTCATACAAAACCCTACACTATATCAAAACCCTACTGCCCAAGTATATCAATCAAGATTCCTGTCCTCACCGTTTGGCCTCACTAATGGAACTAGACAGGGATGTCCCCTATCTCCCCTCCTCTTCATACTTGCACTAGAACCTCTAGCTCACAAAATCCGACAAGACTCACTCATCACGGGAATACACATAGGAAACGCGAACTACCGATTATCTATGTTTGCAGATGATATCCTGCTTTCCCTCAGCAAACCAGAAGTATCCCTTCCTCGTCTTATGGGCTTACTATAGGACTTACTACAGGACTATGGGTCTGTATCATAATACAAGCTCAATAGCAATAAAACACAAGCCCTGCCGATACCTTCGACACAAGTACACCGAGTGCGCCAGGTCTTCAACTTTGACTGGAGACAAAAGCACATTACTTATTTAGGAGTGAAACTAGCTCTTCACACCCCACACCCCACACATGTACTTCCTATTTTCAAACATGGAAACATGTCCAATTGTCATGGCTGGGCAGACTCAATACTATCAAAATGGTACTACTACCCAAAATCCTTTACATATTTAGAATGTTGCCTCTACACATTTCACCATGTGTCTTAAAAACCCTCCAAGCAACCATAACTAGATTTGTTTGCAACAAAGCAAAAGCAAGAATGCCTCTTTCCTTACTCCAACTCACACGGGTGGTTTAGGCTTTCCAAAACTGACTACCTACTACGAGGACGCCATCCTCGAATCCGCTATATGCCTCCATGCCCCCAGACACACATTTCAATGGCTCGACATGGAATATGATAAAATACTTCCACACCCTATGCTGAACGCACTGTGGTCCCCAAGAATGTATAGACCACAGAAACTCCCACTATACCCCACCACAGAGCTGACTATGCAAATTTGGGACAAACTACTGACCACCATGTCTGAGAAAAGGAAATTCTGCATATATGCCCCTTTGGGGGCACTAGAAGGGGTATCAACATGGCTATCGCTGAAACCCTGATCCACTCACGGTATCAACCACATCAAAGACCTTTGCTCTCAAACAGAATTCATGACCTTCCCTGTACTACAGACGAAATACAAACTACCCAACTCTTTTATATTCCAATACCTACAACTAAAAAGCATCGTCCACATCAAAGTGAAATTAAACGCTCAACTAGCACCACCGCAAGCGAACCACACATTGACTATTATCACAAGATGCCTATCTGCACCGACAAAACCCAAGTCCTTATCCTTATGTTACAAGACCCTTCTGGGCCACACACCACCACACTCTTTCAAATACGTGATCCAATGGGAAAAGGAGGGTATACCCAAACTCACAAACTAGCAATGGCTCCAATCACTAAATGCGCTTAAAGGTCTCACATCTTGCTTCTCACATGTAGAAGCACACAAAAAAGTAATATACCGATGGCACCTTACCCCACAACAGCTCCATTAAATATACCCTGCAGTTGATCCCAAATGCTGGAGATGCAACTCAGGGGAAGGTAATATGACCCACATTTGGTGGGAATGCAGTGAGATCAAACCCCTGTGGTCGCATGTTCAGCAGCTACTAAAAAAAAATACTGGGCTACACGGTTGCCCTCACACCTCCAGTGGCAATCCTGTTGCTCTTCCCACCCATATGGAAAAAAGAAACCAAGAAACTGGCTTCCATTATCATATTAGCAGCAAGGAACCTTCTTGCTCAACATTGGAAAAGCATATACTGCCCATCACACAAGGAACTACTAGACAAAATATACCAATATTATAGGTATAAGATACTTTCCACAGACTCCTATGGGAAAACATGACATACAGAACAATTGTGGAAACCGTGGCTTACACTCATACACCACCCAAAACTCTAATTTACCCAGGCCCCAGGATAGAAGTTAAGCTAGTCAGACCAGAGTACTCATAAAGAGATAATTCACGCACCCTACAGAAGAAAATACAACATGAACCAATTCAGCTACACACAATACGCAGGCAGGATGTTATACATGGATGTAGAGTTACTTACTGATGCACAGATACCTATTGATGTATAGTTATAAATTACATAATGGACGTTTGTATACCTATCACAGTATATTCATCAATGTAAACCATACTATGTACTATGAAACAAAAAAATAATCAGATGTCTTGGTCAAGTCGTTCCAACCCCTCCCTCTCTTATTTTCTGTACCCCTCAGTTCCCTTTTTTGAAAAAAATTAAAACTTGAAATTTAAAAAATAAAATAAAAAAAATACTTGTAACAATTGGGTTTGTAAATATATATATATATATATACTTACAAACCCAATTGTTATATAGAGTTCATTACTGTGTTGTGTTTTATTATTCTGATTTATATATTTATTTCCAACAGAGGAATTCCTAGACCAGGGGCTTCCGCCAAAGGTAAATTTTATGGCCTCTCTAAAATATATTGATTTAGTTTACTCAAATCACACTGTGACACCAAATCTTTTATTTAATTTGAAATATTACATTAATTTGTATTTATCATTTAAAATGGCAAAAATGTATAAATCTAGCTCTCCGATATGTTGGAGATGAAATAAAGATGAAAGGTCTTTTTTGTATATATGGTGGGACTGTGAGAAAGTGAAAGAATTTTGGCTATTGGCTTTCTGTGGACTAGAGAGAATATTAGGGAAAATAATTCCCAATTGTCCACAAAATGCGCTATTGCAACTTAATATTCAAATGTTACAATTTAGGGAGAGGTATATATATGTACATTTTGTGGCTGCAGTTAAATTAATCATTGCACAAAAATAGAAATGTTCAGAGAAATGTAAATATGATCATCTAAAAACACAAGTTATATATTAATTGAGGATGGAAGCTTTAATGTTTACACCAAATCATAAATAGTGTCTGGAGAAATGGAGAGTAAGGGAAGAAATACCTGAATAAAATGTTTACATCAAAGCAATTACATTGTCGATATAAATTATTGATAGATTGATAGACGCCCCCCATAAGAAGCCCCCCCATGTGAACTGTTTTTTTAAGATGGTCAAAAGCAGGGCTGTGGCCCTTGTTGCAGTTTTTTTTTTAATATGGAAAATAATAAAGAAAGAGTGAAAAAAAAAGAAAAGAAAAAATTGTATTTATAAACATCAAGTCATGTTATATTAACCCTTTTCTACTGTCATGCTACCAAGGCTTACCCTCACCTACCTCTCCTCATGGTCCATGGTATCCTCAGTGTCCACGCCTCTGCCTGGTGGAGGTACCTGCTCTGTGCAGCTATGCCGCAACTTTAGTGATATCTTTATTGACACAACTACTACTAAGTTGCATTAATTATGGTGTGTGGTCTGCAGGTTATGTCAATTATGAGCATGATACCTTGGCATGTCATTATTGGTGCAGTGGTTGCATTAATTTTAATGCAGGCTCTACATGCATGTGCAAAACTGATGCAAATATGCTACAAATATGCTACAAAAAAAGTAGCTACAAATGGACCCAAAATGCCAACAGCTTTGTCAGCTAAGCAATGGGGGTAACCGTACGGCCTTCAAACCCCCAGGCTTCACTGACACAGAGCTCAGTTATTCCATATTTCTCTATTCCTGCTCTGCTTGCTGCCTGATCTGTTCTAGCCCTTGCTTCTTGACATCCCTTCTGCTCTATTTAACTTCCAGTTTCCTGACCTTTGGCCTAGCTATACTACTATTTCTGCCGCCGACCCTGACCTTTGGCTTTGGATTAACTCTGGGTCTGTCTCACTCTCTTCACAACACTGATGCCCTGATTCCAGTTACCACTGTTATTTGTTATTATTTGAATAAAGCATTGGTGCTACCACACACCTACTGGGAGCTTTTCTCCTTCTCCATGACTTGAGAGGGGTGATTTGGAAGGGTGATCTGTTGCCTGAACAGATTTCCAGTTCCACACCCAAACCTTACAACTGCACTGCATTAATACCTCTGCACCCACAGTTATACCCCCAC